TTAGCTGGAACGAGCAAATAAAGTACCTAATTTCGAAGGCGGGAAAACGCGTAGGAATGCTCGGCAGGCTTCGCAGAAGCCTCACTAGAGAGAGTGCAAATGTAGTGTATTGTAGTCTAATTAGGCCAATTTTAGAATACTGTGTAAGTGTGTGGGGCTGTTGCGGGAAGGTCGTAAACAAGACCTTGAAGCCCTCCAAAACCGGGCTGCTAGGATAGTGGCTTGTACTGTGCGCAGCAAGCAGGCATTGGACGTTCTGAAATGGCCCACCTTGGGGAGCGCCGACGTCAATCTGTTTTTAAACTCGTTAAGAAATGCCTGCAAGGTCAATGTCCCGAGTATTTTAAACAATATTTTAAACGTAATAATACAATCCATGCGCGCGCTACTAGACAAAGCAACCTCTTACATCCGCCTGCTGTGAGAACTGAAATTGCTAAAAGATCCTTCTATTATTATGGTTGCACTCTTTTTAACGAATTATCTTATTGATATTCCGTGTTTTACATCTTTTAATCTTTTAATTGAAAATAGTTTTCTATTTATATTATTACCTGTATTAGTGTAATGTTTATATGTTCAGTGTGGTTTTTGTGCGTTGTTGCTCAGGGCTCCCATTGATAACAGACAGCTTTTTGCGTCTGAAGGGGCTACCCTGAGCGGTACAAATTAATAAAGGTTCTTCTTCTTCTTGTTATTCTTACTTGCAAGATAAATAGCCTTAAAGTTAAAAAAAACGACTGCAATTAAACCTTATCCATAGTACGAAAAATGTTGCGGTCATTTATCCTTCCAAGATATCTTCAAATTTTACCGGGTGACTTTGCGTGCTCTGCCCCATTGGGCATAAGCCTGTGAAGAGATTAAGGGTTAGGGCATACTTTCAACAAAGACGAGGAATGCGGTCTCTTTATTGGCTCAGATGTGAATTAATAACGATTAAATAACACATAAGGTACACGTAAGTAAACAAAAACTGGCGATAAATCCTACGTTTCAGTGTCCTCGTTAACACGTGACGCCACCATTGCGAAGGCAACCACACTACAACTCTCTTAAGAGAATGACGAATTAGGGTGCATCGAAGAATCTATTTTCGAATTTTTCCCTTTCTTTTGTCGTAACGAACCCAAATAATTTAATGTTGGGTTTTCCTATAGAAACGTACCGTAAGTGTCTGCTGAATTTCATGTTGACTGGAATGTAATTTAGCTTTCTCGCTAGCTTTTGGTTGGTCAAGATAAAAAAAAACAAAGATTGAAAAAAAGAAAACAAAATCAACACTCAAAGACGGCTTGGTTATATACTGAAAATCTGAAGAGTTTCGCTAAGTGGAACTTCATACAGTTGTCGTTCTTTTATGGACTTAGTTAACAACCGAAGTGGGAAATGGACATCAGAAAGGGAACAGAATCAGGACGACAATTTTCGTATTTTGACAAGAAACCAGATGAGAAATACATGACTGATACGTATGTGATGATCATATCGCAATTTTTACTTCCGAACTTAAACTGTTTGGAAGAGTTGGCCACGTTTTTCAATTAACGTTTTGAAGTTTAAGCCTGTTCATGAATCAGTGACAAATTGAGGTGGTTCATGTGCAGCAAGGGCATTCAGCTCTCTTCGTGAAGTGGTAAAATTTGTTGGTTTTCATTATTTCGTTAGTTTGCGCTGTTAAACGGGCGTTTTGATAATAAAGTTAATTACCATTTGATTTTTTCACCTAAAGACATAATGACTATCGGGTAAAATGACGGAAACTAATGCTAGGGATGGTATTCAAATAAATTTCCTCGTTTTATAAGCCATTGTAAACGTTGCTTTTGTTTAGCCACTGCTTATGATTTCCAGACCTGCCTAGGCACTTGAAAGGCGATTAGCCCAGGGTTGATTTAGCCTGCGAAAACATCCGTTTCTCCTCGCTCTTCGTCGCTGCGCGAAACGTCCTCAGCGACGAAGAGCGAGGAGAAACGGATGTTTTCGCAGGCTAGGGTTGATTATCCCTGGCGGTGGGAGTGGGTTACCCCCTCAACAGGCTATGGTAATTCTGGAAGAGGGATATATTTTAGTTTACTCTGGCTTGATATTGGGGCAGGTTCGATTACCCACCATAATCCCCTTATTATTCTAAATCAAGCTTTGGTTTCTTTTCTTTCTTTCTTTCTTAGTTTCTTTTCTTCTTTTTTTTTTGTTTTGTTGTTGTTGTTGTTGTTGTTTTTTTTTTTTTTTTTTTTTTTCCTTTCTTCTTTTGTTTTTCTTGCTCGTTGCCGTGAAACAAAGATTTCTATTTCTACAAGTAGTGTCTGGAGCAGAGTCGCAAATTCATCTCTGACTGAGACAGCGGCACGGAGTCTCAAAGACTCAGCGACACACTCCAAAGTAAAGTTCAAGGAAATCCTCGCCAACCTGTTCCAACGTTCAGAAAGTGGGGCGCAGCGTTCGGATGGTGGGGAGAGAGTTAAATCGTACGCGGCAGTAGTCTCCCCTTGTTTTTTTCCCTCGTCAATTTTCCGCGCCCGCGCTCCACTATCTGAACGCCAAGAACAGACTGGTACCCCGCGGGATTCCAACTCGCCACCGTGAGGGATTTCAAGGGGATCAGCAATTATATAGTCCAACACCTGCCGGCAGCGACAAGAAAGAGTCAAATCGAACCAAGGGCCTCTTTCTCGACATTTAATGAACAGGTTCCCATTTTCACCATGGCCCCATTCTTTAGCTTGAGGGTTTTGCTTTGGCCCTGCCCCCAACCGGAATGCTATAGTTCAGAAAGCTTTTGGGACGAAGTACGTTTCCAGAGATCGGACTCTATTTAAAACGATGGCAAAGGTTTGAGTTCGCAAATCGGCTCATTTCTGTGGTCAACTAAACCCAAATCTGACATACAAACAAACATAATCGACCATCTCACTCCACTGGACTACATCGTTTAATCAAAATTAATGCTCAACTTCTAGTTTAAACTGAATATGTAACAAATGTTAAGGATAATGCTGGGAAGGCCAAAGCATACACCTTAATTCAAAATGATTGAATCTGCCAAATTCAAAAGAACTTTACCCTGAAACTAGGCACCGAGGATAAACTTTAATGAAAACAAACGAATAATTTGCCACCACTCTGATATAATGTGCAAAGCCAACCGTAAAATTGGCTGGCCAAAGTAGGATTTGCAAATGCCTAAAAATTAACGCAAGGCTAACACTGAAACATCACTTAAAGATAAATAGTAACATGTATATTGTTGGCGTATATCGTACTTAAATATCGATCGGCCACGAATCCTGTTGGTAATGGAAAAGACTGGTCAACTTTACGCTATTTACAAGGCTTTTAAAACCCCAAAATATTATCGTTAAGACTATAGGTAGTACAGTGGAATGGTTATGAAGAGAATCAAACTCATTTTGATCTCACTGACAAATATAAACGTGGCAATCATTTATTTCGTCACAATTTATGAACAGAAAAAAAAACAGATTGCGCACCGTCAGGAAGATCCCAACATGAACTACAGCACTGTTGTTTTCATCTTTGATGCTTTCTACCTTTCATAGCCATTCTCCTCTACTATGGTAAGACTACATTTTGTTCCTTAACACTACTGGAAAAGGCTTTTGAACTCTTCAAGAAGGTAACTATTAATTTGCAATTACGAAATCTTGTTCTTAATGATATTTGTTCCCTAAACAATGCTCTGCGCGATCACTCCAGTAAGGGATCTCTCCCTCTAGTCTTCTAAAATCTTCACTTGTACACGAAAAAGGCAACCTTCTCGGCTCCGGCGGGATGACAGTCTTACAATTTCCATCTATACTGTGATCGAAATGATACACCTGCAGTGACGTCTTATTAAAAGCCTGCTCACGGGACATCTGATTTTCAAGATCGGGAAACATATTATGAGAAATCTAATCAGATTTGCAAGTGGAAAGTGGGAGCTAGAGGGTCGTTCTTGTTTTATTGACAACAATAGCAAACAACATTTCCCAAAAAACAGAGTTGATCAAGTGCTATCCGATTTAATAAAGCAAAAAGTGTTTCTGAAAAGCAACCTATACTATTCCTACCACCGTAAATCAACGAATAAGCACCCTAAAAGTCTCTATTTTTCGCATTTTCACGAAGGCCCAACCAGACAAGAAGGGTTTCTTTTAAGAGGGAATGATTTCCCTGACGACGACCCCTCCGTCCTGGTCGTGTTCGCCTCCCCGGCCTTTTTGTAGCTTTAATTCGTTTTTGCGTTGGGGCTATAGACAGGCTGTAAACAGCCTTACACAGGACAAGGTGAAGGCGATTATGCAGTGTTTTTCATATCTTCACATAAAACATTTTGATTGGTCTTATTTAAAAGATCTCACACAAACGAGTGCGTCTACTGGTCAGAAACGGGAGGATTACTTTTGCGAAAAGTGCTCGTACAAAGGCCGAGTGGGTAGGGAGGAATGGGTCAAGGGCGGAGTGATTTTTTAAATTTAGGGAAAGTGTAAGCGCGCCGATTCGAGCGACTGAATTTTTCAAAAAGATTTACGATAACCGTACAAAACAATGATAAAACATAAAGTCAACGAGTGAAAACATTTTAAGACAGCAATGTCTGAGGTGGTTCTAGGGTTGATTTTGAAGAGGTTCGAAAAAATAATCGCTGAAAGTGGGAGTATCGAGGAGGATACGTGGGTATGCTACCAGGAAAATTATAAATTATTAGCCCTTAGAAATGTGGTTTCCAGTATTGTGAGGGGAAAATCAAAGTCTTTTACTTACTGAAAGTGTGGCGAATTTTCGCGTAGTGTTCTCTCACTAGATTTTTGTCTTATTTGCAAGTTTTAGACATCCACAGTTTGAGCTTAGGAACTATCTCTAGAACCGCCCCAGAATGTTGGATTCATTGCCTTAGTGGAATTCTGTGCTAAACCTTACTGATCTGCAAAAAATGGATATATCACTCACAGAGTATTTACTGTCCACCTCAGACTTTGCTGAAGAGCCTTCGATTTTTATGCTGACGGGGTCTTGAAGCACTGGGACCGCTGATCTTGGGAGTTGGGATTCCGAGGAACGTGTTTTTCCTCTTCTAACACCTAACAAATAACAAAGTGAAAAACACAACATATAGAAAATACATGCCTATACAATACAAATTTAAGGATAAAAGTTATTGTAACTCGGGTTTTCAACTACTAGGCGATCATCAGACTCAAAAGTACCGTATGGCCAGATTTCAGTTTTAAATGTCTTCAATTTAAGAGCGGTTAGGAAGGTGCTCCTTCTGATTAGCTGCGTTGAATTTGCTTATGATGTGTTGAGAAAAGGAAAGTCACGCGCAGTTAAGATACAGAGGGTCGGTTATTTAAACGAAGTCTAACTTAGGCCCGCGGTTTAATAAAACATTGGACCTCCAGATCTCTTTCCCTACCCTACATGCTATATTGATATTGTTCACGATAAGTGATGTTTAGATAAAAGCGTTGGGCAAACTGAAAATGGCCTAGAACGCGGTTTTGTTAAACACGGGCTAAACTCTGTTTAAATAACTGACCCAGAATCTTTCAAATAGACCAAGATTGCCAATGGATAAAGCGTTTGCCTGTTTGTTTACCTATACCCCTGGAAAGGAAGGGGGGGTTGGAAGGGTCATAGTCGACAAAACGTCGCATGATACTACGAGTGACCTATAACAATGACGAGAGATGCGAAACCCAAAGAAAAACTCTTTGACATATTGTCAAGAATAAAAGGAACTAGGGTCTCAGCAGTCGAGAAGGCAGGATACGTCAGAGATAAAAATCTTCAACTTTTCTTTGGGGGGGGGGGAGGGGTCCAGAGAATTTCAGCTTTAAATTGTGTTGAGGAGAAAACTATTGCAAAATGGGGGTGAGTATATTTTTCATCACTTACTTCAAGTCGATCCTGGTAAAAGCATAAAACTTGGTACGTATGTTTTATGGCAAGCTTTTCGGGAAACACGTCACCGATGAATACTGACGGAGATTCCACTTCCGGGTTCCACACCTTGAATGCATCGATTGGCCAAAGCGACCGCTCCTGCATGCACTCCTTCAGACTCTCAGCTGGTTCAGGTTTCATCTCCTCAGAAGAAAGATAACGATAAATGAAGCGTTTGAGCGCTACTGCGATGGCATTTAGAACAGAACGATGTGACTCGGTTGCTCCGGACGTGGGGGTTCCCTTGGTCATTTCGTTAGCTATCTCTTCAGGTATGGGAACACGATACCTGTCGTGAACTCGTTTGGCAGCCGATTCAGCCAACATGTCTTCGAGAAACTCGTACAAGGCAACTACATGTGTGAGCTGGATGGCGCTGTGGGGCTGAGGGAGTAAATCCTTTGGAAACGGCCTTGGTCCACGCACCCACTTGTCTGTGAATTCTGTCAAAGGGTCCTTTGGTTTCCCAACGCGATGTCTTTTTAACAGGCAAAGGACAATTTCCACGTGCTCAAGCAAATCTTGTACGTTCTTCAGACTCTGTTCATACTGATGCGAAAGACTATTTCGAAACACATCTGTGAGTGGTTGCTGCGGAATCAGTTCTTGTAAGTCGTCCAGAATGTCTCCACAAGTATGAAAGAGCTCTCCGGCGAAATGGAACTCTTGTAATCCCTCGCGAGTTGAAAGGTAAGACTTTCCCGCCAAGAATCTGACTGCCATCTCTTTTTCAATCTTCTCAAGATCAAAAAAGATCTCCCTGCCATGGCCGTACTCGGTGCTACGTTGAGAATGCCTTAAAATTTCATCTGTCCATTGATACTGGATAATTTCTTTTTCCCGGGCTTCCTGTAAGTGGACAACTGGAATACTGAATTTTCCTTCTTCTTTCTCCAGAAAGACTAGCGCAGAACATTTTCCTGTTGATGCAATACTGAGCATCTTCTGCAAGAAATCATTCTGGATCTCCCCAAGTATTTCCATAGCAGCACAAAGAAAGGCACCCTGGCCTCTTTTTCTCAATCAAGCAAAAAAAAATCGGTGAGCTTTCGTTTAAGTATGGCACATCCTGTTTTAAACGGTCCCTGACAAAAGGACGCATCCTCTCCCATGCCATGCTGAACTTCTCGAAGATCTCACTTAATCGCTTTCTCTCCTCAGAAGATTTGGATTCTTTTCGAATGATATCTCCAATATTTGTAGTGGCTTCGTGGCGACTCAGACGTCCACTTAAAAGTGAGTCTACGATACCACTCCAGCAAAGGAGATTATGGAGGCTTGCGACATTTGGAAGAGAGTCGTTAAAATCAAGAAATAACCCAAAAAGGGGATGTTGGTTCTTAGTATCCTGATCAGCTGACAAATAACACACTCTGAGGGACGTGAAAGTTTTAGGCAGAGTTACACGCAACAACCTAGGAAGGTGCAGGTTTCTCTCTGCCGTGTCTGAAAACTGGGGGTCATCAATTTCCTCTACACTCCTTCGAACAGCCATTAGAGATGTGCTCATGAGGTCTTGCGAACTTGCCACCACTTTTCTTAGGTAAAACTCTCGAAGTAAAGGGCGCATAGTTTCAGCAAACTTTTTTTCCCATGCCAACCATTCTTCTTCTGTTTGACATAAACCTGCCGAAGTAAGGATGGAAGTACTTTAGTACATATATGACATATTCTTCATTAGCTCTTAGGTCTTATTAAAGATAAATAAAGAACTACCCAATATTTATGACTGGCTATGTGCAAATAAATTAACCTTAAATCTAAGAAAAACTAAATATCTTATCTTTCAACCTCGTCAGAAAGTAGATTATAATTTATTACCTCCGCTATCGATAGCTGGCCAACGCTTAGAGCAAGTATCCAAAATTAAATACTTAGGTATCTATATTGACAGCCACCTATCCTAGCATGACCATATCGACTATGTTTGTGATAAAGTCAGTAAGGAGGCCCTGCCAGGGTAAATTCCGACAAGCGACATGGCCCAAAAAGTAGCGACAGAGCCTAAAATGAAATCCCGACAAGCGACAACCCGGCCTTGGTCAAATTGCGACAGTGACAGCAAAGCCGAGAATATGCGACAAAGAACGGTGGTTTAGCTAATTTATCACCAGTCTGAATGCCAATAAGAAGTTATTTTCGTTAATTTTCCTTGCGCTTCAGAGATTGTCTCTCGTCAGGGAGTTTTAGTGGACCCTCCTGAACGCGTCGCGTTGGCCCGTCGCGTAGTCTTCATTTACGCAACCCCGCATAACTCCTTGGAGACCTTGGAACTAGGTTGTCCGTCAAATAGCTTAACTTTACGAAACTTTACGCACGCTTTACATCTCTTGTAATCACTACTCTCATATAGACTATAATGTACCTTGTTTTCCCAATCAGAATTTTGCATAACCATTGTTTCCAAATTCTCCAGGGTATTACAGTCGTCCCAAGAGAAATCGAAAACAATGGTTATGCAAAGTTTTTGGGGGGTAAACAAGGTGCATTATGGTCTATGTGAAAATGGTGAATACTTTGCTTGTTCCCGAACTTCTCACATCCTTGTCGCCCTGTGTCGGACGGTGATGACGGTGGAGAGACCATGGACCAGGTAACTTAATCACCGAACTTCCAATCGCTCTCACAGAGTAGACCACCGTTAACCGGTCTTCACGTCAGTTAGTCTTAAAATGTTGAACGTGGATCACTTAGGGTGTGTTGACAGTATTCCTTTAAGGGAATCCAACAACGGATTTCTGATCCGAGATTTGTCGGATTTCACGGTCGAAAGGAACGTTAAATCCAAAATTGGATTTGTTACCTTGGTAACCTTTTGCAAACGCGTGCAATATGCATGACAGCCTCAGCCTCTCAAGAAATGCCTTTTTTTGCACTGTTTGACAAATTATGCGATTATACCGTGCAGAATTTTGTGGTCGGCAGTTCGAATAACGACGATGGAACATATTGAACAGATCAAGAAAGGAGAGCGTTAAAGTTGAAAATTATCTAAAGGTTGTCGGCTCAGTTTGATCCAGTTTCGTAGCTCGGTTTTTTATGTAACACGGTCGAGTGCCTATCGCGTCCACAAGCGAGTTTGTAGAAAGATAGCTGTTATTTGTCCCTTTTAGCGACAAATGGTCAGCACATGGATATTTTACTGTACCACTTTGAACAATCTTCTAGTGTTTTCAGATGTTTTACGGCAAATGGCAGCAATTAGGAAAGGTTCTACGGGAAATACAGCTGGATCATCTGACTAATTTCGAATCCACTGTGAATGGAACAGCGTAGATCACTAATCCGTTAATCTGGATTCGGATTCTTCGGATTTCAAATCCAATGTGAATCTTTTTTCAAAAAGGATTCACCAGATCAAAAATCCGAATTTGGATTTGCCGAAAGGAACGCGAAATCCGTTTTAAGATCGAAAATCCGTTTTTGGATTCACCGAAAGGAACACACCCTTAATTGTGAATGGCGATGTATCGGTGTTCTATAGCGAAAGGTTAACTGAGAAATTGTACAACTGTAATGGTTTCTTTACAACACATCGCTACCCCCCTTTTCTAAAATTCCGACAAAGACAAAGAATTTTCGTTCAATTTCCGACAGCGACGTGAAGCATTAGTAAACACCGACACGAGAGGTTTTAAAATTCAGACCAGCGACATGGAGCCCCCCCTGGCAGGGCCTCAGTAAGAGTATTAATATTATGACAAAGATAAAAAGTTATCTAGGAAATCAATGTTTAACTAGTATTTACTATTCTCTTGTTTACCCATATCTCATATATGGTTGCTTATTGTGGGGAAATAATTATGATAATCCATTATCACAGCTCATAAGTCTACAAAATAAAGCAGTTAGAATAATGAATGACGTTCCTTTACGAGATCATATCACTCCTCATTATGCTCATCTAGGTTTATTAAAATTTCGGGATATTGTTAAAATTTACAATTGTTTGTTTTTATATGATTATGTCTCTGATAATAAGCCGTGTAATTTTCCATTATTTCTTGTATCTGAGCAACATGATTATTTTACACGAAGTGCATCTGCTCAGCAATTACACATTCCCCACTCAAGAATTAATATTCGAAAGTTTTGCCCTACCGTCATTGGAAAATACTATTGGAACGATCTCCCCCTTTCTATTCGCAATAAATCATCGAAAATGCTGTTCAAAGAGGCACTTAAAAAATATTATCTTGCTCAATATTGACTTGTGTGCGTGTGTGTGTGCGTGCGTGCGTGTTTGTGTTTCTAATGAATAACAAAACTACAAAAGAATAAAGTCAATCTTGTTAAAGGGCCATGATTAGTCTTACTATAATGTGTCCTTCTCCATTCAAATTTTCTTCTTTTATTATCATTATTATGTACACGTAGTTTAAGCAACTTTGTACCAATTGATATTGTACAACTAATGTATTATAGGATGGAGTAAAAATAAAATACAATAATACAATACAGCTCTTAGGTCACTATCAATCTGCCGGAAACACACTTCGCAATGATCACTCTCCGTAACAGAATTGCCCAGTATTTGAGCAAGACTATTTTGATCAAACAACTCCATCTCGTAGCCTCCGTAAAGTGCAGAATGAACAAACAAATGGAGAACTCGGAATTCTCTTGGATCCATTTGCCCTAGGCGAACTGAAAGATCTTGAGGACATGTGAGACAGACAGGAACTTTAGATGGCTGTATGGCTTTAACAGCAGCAGTATTCTTGCTAGGTACTTTCTCAGCTTTTCAAAGTGAATTGCAGTTGGGAGACTTTGTCACTTGCTGCAACAAAGAATGTTCTACAGGAGCAAAGGGAAAATCATGTTTTATAGAAGATGCAATTGCGATGTACCTCATACGGCTGCTGAAAACCCTCTCCACACGCCAGAACGTATGTATTGCTTGAGGTCAAAGGACTAGTAAACTACGACATAAATGTCAGCTTTTTCTGCTTAAGACCTCTGAAATGAGAGGCTAGAACTATGCAAAGATGCAGGATTAGTGTTGCCCTATGCACATCAGCTGGTGAAGACTCTGAAGAAATACAAAGTTTTTGACTTTTGAAATCTTTCCTTCCCGTAATTCTCAGGAGGAGCTGGACATAGGGATTTTCAAAATCTCAAGTTTCCCTATAAAGGAGTTTATTGCTTTGTCTTCACTGTCCTTTAGAGCTCGCGTAGAACGAATAAGTTAAAACGACTTGGCAAGGGTGGCCGCCATCTCCATTCCCTTTTCTGCTGAACTTAACATAGCAAGAATGGTATCTTCAAGGGGCTTTGGGTTGTTCTTCTCGAGAAGAGTTGCTAATGCTGCTTGTGCATGGAAATTCTCTGAATAGTTTCGAGTGATCAGAAGAGCGGGGTTGCGGTTAATGCGGAACTTTACGTGATTTGCCATTGCAGACTTTAGAAAGTTAATTCTTTCGTCTGGCAAAACAGTGTCTTCCAACACCTCGATCGTCGCTTTCTTCCAGCTGCTTTGAAATCTGAATTACCAGCGCTGATTCTCAACCTTATTGGCCTTACTTTCTCTCTGAACATCCTCTGCTGCCCAATAATGGATTTTGCAAGAAGCAAATGCGAAGCATCTAGCTCTGGTTTACATTGTAGTACCAAGAGAGAGTCGCTAGATCCCCAGAATCGTTCCAACTCCTTGGTCAACTGCTTTTTAGACTTAAACGCACTTAGTTTCTCTGTCTGGCACTGAACTAGCCCATCAAGGCACTGAGATACATTCACGTGAATGTTGCTGTGGGTCAATATTACCATTCGCACATTCGCATACCCTTTGTGGCATCTTGACCTTTACAAGCAAGTTGTAAACATTCCAGCGAGTGTCGCAGGTAATCTCAAACCATTGTGCTATCTGCCTTACAACACCATCAGGAGATGATACCATCAGCAGATCTCGCTTGCACTCTTCAACAACAGGGACCTTAAGCAAAGACGACAACGACGACGACGGCAGTGAAAACGTCGCTAAAAAA